ACATGTAGTACCTATATATGTAATATCAAAGCAATTGCACTTGCGGTTTTCAACAAGAAGTCGAAAATATCACTTTTTACTAAAAATGACAAAAATGTTCACCAAAATTAGAGAATTGAAGATATCATCATGAAATGAACAAATCTGAAAGAGGTCTACCCAAGGTACATATACACCAAGTATCAAAGCATTCAGGCTTGTAGTTTTCAAGAAGAAGTCGAAAAAGTAAAACATTGACACGGACGACGACGACGGACGACGAACAATCACTCATATGATAAGCTCCGCTCGACAAAGTCGACAGCGGAGCTAAAAATAAATGTATCTTTATTTTTTCCATACAGGGGAAAACTTGGTCTCCTGATTGGAAGATATCCTCCTGAGATATTTCACCTAATTTGTTCATACTTAGAATTTTTTTTAAGGACATTTGTCAAAACTAAATCACTGTAATAGATAATAATCTCCATTTTGAGGAAAAGTGCTTTTCTACATGTAAGAAATATAAACAATACACTATAATACATCCTGGTATTTGATCTCTGGTAGAGAAAACTAATACTTAATTTGAACTTGGAATTTATTTTCACTGAAGAAATGATTCAGCGAAAATAAAATACCTTTTTTCTCATATTTTACATTCATTAAAAATCAGTGAAAACAAACTCTATACAAAACACCCAAAAAGCCTTTGGAGCAAAAATAAATTACAGATAAAGTGAAAGTATTTCACAGTACAGAAGTTTACTTACAACTGTTCAAATTCAGATTCATATGTATCCTCAGCTTCTCCACAACATACGAATGTGTCGGTGAACATGTCACATGTCTTATCCAATGCCACCAATCCACATCCGCAATACAAACCCAGTCCCACTGCCAAAACTATTGTAGCAATTAAAGATGAAAACGGCGTTAACGCCAGACAATCAAAACACCCTGCTGGTGAAAAGAAAAACATCTCTTGGTTAGAAACGCGTGATCTGTCATGTGATATGCACACCACCTCCCAGTAATAAGCTTCCACAATTTCAAGCAAGAACATTTCTCTTTTTCAACACAAGGGGCATGCACAAACTTCTAGGTGGCGCTGTCTACAAATTTTCTGAAAGGTGACTGACTGCACAATCAACAACAGCATGAGTCACTTTCTATCCATAATTTTAATGCAGATAATTCATACAAGGAAAATTGCTATAAATTTGAAAATCATATGAAAATAATTTGAATCTTTCTTCCTTTTTTTTCTTCAAAAAGTGGTTAAAACACATATATATGGTAGACAATATTAAATAATCATTGTCAAAGTAACTATTCAAACCAGCTAGACATTTTGAGCAATGGCTCTTTTTCAGCAGTATATCAGACAAGCAACCTGTCGGCTGAGATAGCTCCGCTGTTAGCAATGCACGTTGCAATTAAAGAACAGAAGATATGATTAGAAAATGAAAATCAAAGCAATCAGACTTGTTGTTTTCAACAAGAATTCAAAAATTTAAATTTTCACCAAAAATTACAAAAATATTCATCAAAATAAGATAATTAAAAATATCATCACGAAATGTACAAATCTGAGAGAGGTCCACATGTTGTAACTGTATATGTAATATCAAAGTAATTTGACTTGTTGTTTTTAACAAGAAGTCGAAATTATCACTTTTTACCAAAAATGACAAAAATATTCACCAAAATTAGAGAATTAAAGATCTCATCATGAAATGAGCAAATCTGAGAGAGATCCACATGTAGTACCTAAATATGTAATATCAAAGTAATCGGACTTGCAGTTTTTAACAAGAAGTCAAAAATATTGCTTTTTACCAAAAATTACAAAAATATTCATCAAAATTAGAGAATTAAAGATATCATCACAAAATAAACAAATCTGAGAGAGGTCCACCCAAGGTAACTACATACCAAGTATCAAAGCATTTGGGTTAGCAGTTTTACAGAAGAAGTCAAAAATAGGATTTTTGACCAAAAATGACAAAAATATTGGCTATAAATGAGATAACATATCCACAGGAAATGAACAAATCTGAGAGAGAAGCACCCAAGTACCTTCCTAGAAAGTTTCACAGCTATACAGTTTGTGGTTTTTAAGAGAAGTCGAAAATGTAAAGTCGGCGACGGTGACGACGACAGACAATCAGTAATACTATAAGCTTCGCTCGACTTCGTCGACAGCGGAGCTAAAAAGAAACTACAGTTTGTATACAACATCCAATAGTATATAGCTGTGAATGAACAATATAATTATAAACCATTGTTTAAGTTTTTGTTTATAAATTATTAATGCTGGACTTTACCATCGATACAAGCTTCCTGAGTATTTATAAATTTTATTCACTCAAAAAAATGAACTAATTTTTTTCATTTTGTCACTTTTTTTAAAATGCCTTATTTATAACATTAATATATTAACATTTTCAAACTCAGGAAACTACTAATTTGAGAACAAAAGTGAGACTTGTCAAATTTATTTCAACAAGAGAAAAAAAAATCATACTTCAAAGTATGGAAATATTAATACAAGGTATTGCTGAAATATGAAAACAACACATAAATAACTTAGTTATAAATAACTAATTATTAAAAGTTTCATATCTGTATTTACTTTGCACTAAAGATTGACACACCCATTTAGTCAATACCATATAAACAGGAATTTGAACCCAGCTCATACGTTACTCTCAAACGTAAGTCAACAAACAAAGTCACACATAGATATAGAATGATCCAGGACTTGGACCAAACATTAAACTAAGCTTTCTATAAGATCTCCTAATGAAAATCTAGGCTGATTGCCTTGGGGTAGATATATAGTGTGACTAGTCAAGATTTGGACAATTGCATTTCAATGAGTGACAAAGAGTCAGCTGATCTTTCCTGAATGAAAACCCAGACTGTACAGTGTTTATCAAAGCTACCATGCTGTAGACACAAATACAAGTATAGCTGTGGTTTCGCAAGGTTTTGGGTTCTAGGCTTCATACATGACAACGTCGGTTAGGGTCAGGCATGCAGGTACATCGATGTGGTCATAGACACTGACAGATGAAGCCTAGAACCTACATGTATCCGAACAGAAAATCTTGCCTAATACAAATACAAGTGAATATGGAGGCACCATTCTGTTCACTGAAATACTTAGTACTGAAATACTTAGTACTGAAATACTTAGTACTGAAATACTTAGTATTTCAGTATTACTTATTTATTACCGGTACAAGTAATTGCTCCAATGTGTCTGAGAAATATTGACTAGCATGTGTATTGTGTATTTCATTTTATATCTTTAGACAATAAATATGGACACTTGTAGTGGCTGTCCGACTTTGGGGGGGGGGGAGAGAGAGAGGGGGGGTGGGTCATTTTACAGGTTTGTCATAAATAGTATGCCTTCTCCCTTCCTAAAACCGGTTACTCATTAAATCTTGAAGTCTGTGTATAATAACAGGCAAATGATTCATATAACAGATATCACAAGGTTATAGCTAAATGATTGTATTGGCCAATCAATACATAACTGAGATCGATGCTATCTTGTACTGTATTTGTGTCATAACTTTGTT